TTTCTTACAGAAAAAAAAAAAAAAAAGACTTTTGGCCTAAAGTTCCCTCCCCTCTCAGACTCTAAGGGCCCTGTCTGGCCTAACACCATTTCTGCTAACAATGGGCCGATGACCCTTATCAATAGCCAGAGGATCTGAGTCACCAGTTTCAGGGCAATTATCAGAATTTGAGGGAAGGGGCCTTTTTCCCAAAGAAAAGAGGAAAAAAACTTAATTAGATTTACTAAAAAATTAATATCTCTCTGCAAGATGTTCCTTTCACTTAACTAGATTTACTAAAAAGATAAAGAATTTTACAAGTGATGTCCCATACTACTTCTGGTCAAGACTCTTCCTCCGCCCCCAAACCCATTGCCACTGCCGAAATCCACTGCCAGGTATGACACCTGTGTAAAAACATTACACCCATTAAAATGGAAATGACCTGGAAGGCATAACATACTTGCAATGAAAATAATGTCAGAAACAAATGGATCTGAATTCAGGGAACAGGGTTTGACCTACAGGTCAGGGCGTGACCAGAGAGGAGCAGGGGAAGGTGAGAGGGCGCGTCCCCCAGCAGGGGCCTCTGTGCTCATCCAGCTGAGGGGTGAGGGCAGATTTCACAGGCGTGGGAAGAAGCTGGGGAGGGTCAGACAGGTAAATCGAATAAACTGGGGGAGAGCAGCGAGCACTTACGGCCTCTGTCCTTGGACCCTGAGTAACTGGGGAAGGTACAGGGCACAGGAAGAGCAGTTTGCAGCCCTCAGGAGCTGTAAATGGAGTAAATGGCTTCCTGAAGGTCAACCAGCCAAAGCCACGCCCTCTTCTGTACTGTGCTGGGCCAAGGAGACTCGGTGGCCTGGCGCCAGATGTGGCAGGGCATATGGATACTGGGATGGCCTGGAGGATGGAGGACAATGAGCCAGGCCACTGCGGCATCTGTGCCAAGAAGGAATACAGGCGGCCCCGGCACATGGAAGTCAGGTAAGTGGGTGTCTTGGTGATGGATGGGAGTTTTTCAGCAAGCATGACCTTTCTCCCTGTTGAGTCCAGCTGGACAAACCCAGTAGCTCCAGGGCCCCTTGTCATCCACTGATTGCTTTGTGATTAATGCACAAATCACTTATTTCCACCTTCTGTCCCTGCTCCATATTTCCTCAGCTCCTGTGGTGGACCTTCTGTACTTAGGTAATTTACTTAGAAATTATCGTCGCTAGAATTTCTCAGCGTGCTCTGCATACAGGTAGTGACCAGAGTCTGAGTGTGAGTCCCCTGAGGAATCCTAACTAAGGATTCCTAAGGACAGACAGGTGAGTCACAGCAGTAGGGAGAAGCTTAAAAATCTGCCAGGAATAAAGCAGGGCCCAGCTGAGGCTAGAATCTGACTTGCAGGAATCATCTCTTCTTTCTTGCACACTTTGAGCTCAGCATGAGAATAGTGAGTTCCCACACGGTAGTCATTCACGGGAGCTACCTGTGGTCCCAGTAGAGCTTCACACAGGATGGGCAGCCTAGTTCTGGTCTGGGAGCCAGAGAACTTCATTTGGAGGAGGAACAGGCCACTCTCCAGGCCCCAATACCAAGCCGGGCAGACCCTGCCCCACGCAGTACAGAAAATGAATGGTCCCAAATAAATACCCTTCCCTCTTTTCAACAAATATTTCCTTTACCTTGGCCTGGATCCCAAAAGACTGCATATAAACTAGATTTAATGCTGATTTGGCCTCATGGATTTTATAACTTATCAGAGCAGGAAAGACAGAATCACATATTGTTCACATTCATTCATCCAACAAATATTTACTGAGTACCAGAGAGGAGAGGGGGCTTTTTGTGCTAATTCATTGGGGAGAGCATCACAATAGTAATGCTTTATGCTGTCCCTTCGTTCACAGTGCAGCAGGATTTATTTAATTATCCCCCACCACACCCCATGCCCCACTGGCCTCCTTTCTTTCTTCTACAATGCAGGTGAAAATGTTTCTGCGCAATTTGAGGAAGCTTTGAAAGGTAAAGGACGGGGCACAAATGCTTGATTTGCATAACAAGGCCAGGATTCTGAGTTCTTGAGAGAGAAAATGGTGATGGTTGGAGGAATGTGAATTCCTCCAACAGACCAAATGGGGGCTTCAAATAGAAACGAATCTTCTGGTGGCAAAAAGCGTATTTGACTTAGGACTTTCTAGGAGGAAGCCAGCTGCTGTGAGGATGAGAAGCCGGCATTCACAGAGCTGGAGGTCTTCTCTCTGCCCTCCGCAGAGCCAGCAGGTGTCCCTTCGCTGGTACTGCACAAGGACAAGGGCTTCCGAGAGTGTCCCATGTGCATGCTCCCTCATTTCCTGCCTCTCCCACTCTCCTCCTCCACGCTGCTACCCCCTCTTAGACTCTCCCCCATTGATGGTCTAAGCCTCCGGCTCCCAGACGTGGCCTTGGAAGACAGTGCTCTCAGGGAATGCTCTCAGGTTGCAGAACCAAGTGTGGCCCATCTGGCCGAATGGGGGACTCACACCTCTGCTTTGGAAAGGAGGCTGCCAGCCTTTTACGTGGTCAAAGTAGAGATAAAGGCCTGCGCTTACATAGTGAACTCTTCTAATCAGATATTTACAAATATTAACTTATTAACAACAACCCTGTGTGTTAGGTAGTTACGAACCCATTTGACAGTTGAGTAAACTGAGGTACCGAGAAGTTAAATGACTTGCTTCGGGTCAAACAGATAGGAAGTGGAGGCACAAGGACTTGAATCTGGGCGATTTGCCTCCAAAGTCCTCGTACTTAACAGTGTCTTTTCTGCCCTCCGAGATGAGGATTCTCTTACGTTAGCCTTTTTATTGTAAGTGACAAAACCCAACCCAAGGACACTGCAGCCAGACAAAGCAGCAGTTGCAAAGGCTTAAGAGGCCTGAATGGGAAGGCGTGTGGTCAGTGAAGGTTTTGAGTTACTGGAGACAGAGATGGAGGGAAATCGCAGGCGGGATCTTCGGTCGGGCCGGTGCGTGGAGGCAGGGGCTCGCTGCAAGGACCCCAAGCTAAGGATACCAGCTGTCCTGTCCCTGAAGCTGGGGGTGAGGAGGCGGGCGAAGCGAGCGTGGCCAGCAAGCCAGTGCTCTCTGCTCCTGCGTCTCTCACACACCTGCTGCTCCCAGTGCTCCTCTTTTTCCTTATGTATTTTTTGTAGTTTTCCAAGTCTTTTCTGCCTCAGACTCCCCGGAGAGTGAGTGCTCCGTGGAGGGAGCTTTGATTTGTCTCAGCTCTCTGGGAGGGGCAGTCTTTGCCACAGATTAAGTGTAGCTGAACGCCTATTCCCATGTAAGTCTGGTTCTTTTAATTCAAGATTCAATAGGAGGGGCGTGCTGTGCCGCCTTGGGAGCTGGCAGGGGCCACAGACCGAAGCCTCCTTTCTTCCAGGTGTGTGGTCTCTGATTTATCTTTTTTCCCTTTGCCACTCCTCACTCTCACCCCTGCCAGTTTTGAGTTCTCCCTGAATCCACACAGTGAACTGACTTAGAAGACAGAGCCCCCATCCCCATATTTCCCCACCCACCATCTGGATGTGACAGGGCGAGGGGGACAGAGCAGCCTGGTGACCTAGCCAAGCACCGATTGTTATGGCGCGAACAATTCTAAGACCCACGGAGCCAATTGAGATTAATTATGAGTCTTTATTAGCCAGCGGGCGACTGACTCTCTACCACGCAGGGTTAGAGGAAATCAGCCCTGAGCTTCCCGAGGAGGCAGCTTATAAGGTCTCCTGCTACATCTTTGAATGAACAGATAGATTACAAGAAGCAGAAGTTAGTCGTTAACTTTTTGTGCACAGACAAAGGTATCCGGGGAACTCTTAGATCAAACAGGGCCTAATAGACAGTTTTATCATCTTTACCTTGGAATGTTGCGCTTCTCCCTGGGGCTGGCGCCCGGGGATATCACCTCCGTGTAACTGAGTTGCTGCTCTCCCTAGGGGCTGGCGCCTGGAGACACCACCTCCCTGAAACTGGAGAATTTCCACTTTTACACTATCAGACACTGGTGAGTGGCTTCCTTCTCCAAACAGGGCCTAATAGACAGTTTTATCATCTTTACCTTGGAATGTTGCGCTTCTCCCTGGGGCTGGCGCCCGGGGATGTCACCTCCCTGTGACTGAGTTACTGCTCTCCCTAGGGGCTGGCGCCTGGAGACACCACCTCCCTGAAACTGGAGAATTTCCACTTTTACACCATCAGACACTGGTGAGTGGCTTCCTTCTGCTCCTGGTGTGAACTTGAACAAGCCATTGGACCTTCTTGGGCTTCCGCATCATCCTTGACGTGTCAGGCAAATAACTGGTGACTGCTCCTTCCACGCTCATGCACAGGGAGCAGCAAAAGGACAAAAGGAACAGAAAAGACCTGGTAAGCAGAGACCCCAGTCGTCTTCCTCTGAGATGCCCAGTTCAGAGGGCTCCCATCCCCCCAGCAAAGGGGCCAGCTGTAAGGAACTTCCAGCTGTTTACCTCAGAATCTGTCAGACTCCTGTGGTTGGGGCATGGGATGCAGGGAGGAGAGGAGAGACTGGAGATGATTCAGTGTCTGAGCATGTAGAGTGGGTGGAGATGAAGGCTGTGGGTTGACATACTTGGTAGGTATGGTCAAGGCTGTTATGAATGCAGCCTCCTCCCTCCCCTCCAGCTAGCTGCAGCCCGGAGCGAGGAGAGACACAGAGAACCAAGCATGGAGAATTAGATGGAGAGGGGACAGGTCCATTTTGGGAAGCAGGGGCCAGAGGGTTGGGGGCTGTACAGGAAGTAGGACAACCAGCCAACTATCCCTGGGATCTGTGTCCTATGAAAGACAATGAGGTCCCAGCTTGAGATTTGTCCTTACACACCCTCTGCTGAATGCCTGGGAGCCCCTGAGAATCCGGGGAGAAGGGATTTTGGAGACCTCAAGGACAACTGCTTTGCTTCACAAGTGAGGAAGGGGAGGCCGCGAAAGAGGATGGAATGTGCTCAAGTCCTCAGAACTTGTAAGTTGTGGAGCTAAGAACTAGATTGATTTGCTGAGGCTTCTAGACATTTCTCATCATCTAGAATTATCTCCCCTAAACCTAACCAATACTTGAATTGGGTAGAGGGCTCTGGATGTGACTTCTGATCACTGGGGCCTTCAGCCCTGACATCAAGCCCGTTTGATGGCAACACTACATGGTACAGGCCAGAGCAGACTGGATCTGGGCTCCACCTCAGCTCCCTTTGCCACCTTGGCCCAATCTTGTTTTGTCTCTGGGACTGGTTTCCTCATCTGGGGTCATTACACTTGCCCTCTTGTGCTTCACGGAGTCAGAGGCTAAAATGGGAGGATTCTCTCTTCCAACATCTGCAATTTAATTACAGACTAATTCTTGACCCAGCCTGATGGGCGATTCTAAAATGTACCTGTAAAAAGTAGGAGGCTTGGGCTTCCCTAAGCCACATCATTTTTCCGGGATCCCAGGAAGGACCTGAAGACCAGAGGGTGGGACAGCCTGTGCGGCGCCTGAGTGACACTCCCATTAGGCCTAGCGTCCCCACCCCTGACCGAGAAGCACTGTGGCTTTATGGATCTTAGAGATAAGAGTTTACATTTATTTTTTAATATTCCAGGCTTTCCACGTGTGTTATTTCACTTAAGTGTCATCATCTCCCCAGTTACTATTATTGTCCTCATTTTATGCACGAGGAAGTTGAGGCTTGGACAAAGTAAATATGTTAAGTCACACAGCGAGTAAGTGCCGGTGCCAGGACTCGAACCAGGGTGTGGTGGGTTCCAGAGCCTTGTTCCACCACCCTCTGCCTCTGCTGGCCTTGAGCGGGCCGTTCTGCCTGGTCAGCTGGCTGGTAGAAGAGCAGGACCCAGTCCCCCGTCCTGGGCGCAAACCGCCCAGCGCATGCTCTTCAGGCATCCAGTTTGTTACCAGTTCAGTTTGCCAAGTTAACCAACTATCCCAAGTTCCTACCAGGCTCCAGTTTTACTTCTGGGGCTGCCCATTCCCCCACACCCGCCTGTCCTGGCTTCTCCATCCCCAAGGAAGCAGGGGCCTTTCCCCTGATCTCCGGCCAGGCCCTGTGCAACTCCCGAAGTCCCCTGACGTCCCCTGTCCCCCCGCCCCCCGGGCTGTGGTCTGCAGCAGAAGCACAGGCCCCTCTGTGCCTGCCTCTCGCTTTCAGAACCTTGTCTCACAGACTCGCCTCTGCAGAGGGCCGTCTACT